CAACATTTAATATTGCATATTTTCAATCTGAAATAGGTTTTCTAATAATTGGTGGTAATTTGTAGGAAGAGAAAGCAGCTGCAGTACAATTTGTATCATATCACTTTTTAAAATTAAAATAAATTTAAGTGTTTTGAAAAAGAAAAACAACAACAAAAGTTAAATCTATGAGATAAGATAATAGAGTTTTGAAAAGAATTCAAAATGTTATCACCGTGTGACGTCTCTGTATGTTTGTTTGTTAATTCTTCTACGATACACGTCCTTTCTTAAATAAAACCTGTTTATTCTTCTTCAATACAACTTCACAATACACTTAATTTTCACAGTTACACACACTATAGTTCACAACAATTCACTCACTTTCTACCTCGCTTGGCTTAATTGTCTGTCTCTGCCTGTCAGCTATTATAGTTTCAATCTCTGTATCTGCTATCCGTGGTTCCTGCGGACCGTAACCACTGTCCTTGGTTCCCCACTCTTTATCTTTCTCTGTCTTTGCTTCGTCTGTGCTTTGTCTAGTGCACTTATATACAATAATACCACATGTTCTAGAATCTTCTAGGCTCTCAACACGTGCTACCAGCATCACTTGACTTCCGCTGTCATAACACACTAGCGTTTATTGCGAATCTTTTAGAATACTCATCATATGACCCCCGCTGTCGTAACAATATTAACAATATTTCCAATATTGAGCATTCTTTGAGATTGACTCACTTGCATATTATATTAATCTCCCTGAGTTGAAAAGAGAGATTGATAAAGTTCCAGGACCACACAACAGTTTTGTAAGTATCTTTCATTTTAGATATGTCATTTGACAGTGGCTAGATCCTTGAGGATTGGAGAGTTGGTAATGTTACTTGTTTTTTTAAGCTCTTATTCTCATATGGGCCACATATGGCATCATTTGAAGAGAGTTTGCTCATAATTATATGTGCGAACTGAAGATAGTGACTGGTGGGTGATAAAAGGCACATTCTTGGCTCCATGTGGGTGTCATGTGTTTCCTCTTTGGAGAGCATTATAAACTGCAACTTTGAGGCAAACAAAGGTTAACCATGGTTTGAAGCAGGTGGGAGCATGACCAAATTTATGCTATTGTTTCACCAATTTATAACTTTTGTTATAGTGCATGAAAAATATGGTGAAAATATTAAGATTTTACTGACACTGTGAATAGGCTATACATGATTGAAGTATTCCAAGTTATGATTGATTGATCCAAAGAAGTGTTAATGACATATTTAACCCACTGGCCACTATTGGCAAAAATGGATGTAAAAAACATTTTATCCCCAAAACCATGGCCCAAAAGTCATCATTCAAGACATACCAGATGAGAGTGATGAAAGTATTTAAAGTGAGATTGGAGATGAACTTCTTTCAACCAAGTGTGTTATATACAGATCTTTCAAGTAGAAACCTAAATATTCTACCTGCTTTAGTTACATCAGTTAACAGCTTGCCAATATAATATAAATGATGTAAGAATTTATATAACATGACAACAGCCTCATTTAGTAAGTCAGTTGTACTACAATTAGGCTTATATGAGTGGTTATCAGCACAACTACAAATGCTTAATGTAGGTGAACAAGTTGTATCTTTCAAAGGTTGATACACACAGAAACAGTATTATCTCCAGAAGCCTCATAAATAGGAAAAATTCAACCAGTGCCTGACCTTCCTGATCTGAGTCCTATTTGAACATGAAACATTGTCTGGAAGCTTGACCAGATAATTCTAAGAAATAAATCACACCTGCATTTTTGACATTTGGTTTTCATTTCTCAAACATCTAATTGTACTAACTCAGAGAGGAATACATGCTTTAGACACTAGAAGTTTTACCAAAGATTACTATTTCATTTCTGGGATATAATTGTATCAACAAGGTGCACAACAAATCAAAACATTCATTAGGTTTCAAGGCAGAAATTGCAGTCTTTGATATAAAGAAAAAAGATGTCTCACAAAAAATGAGGACAACCTAAGTTTAAAGCACAAAATATTGAGAGGAAAATTTTAGAAAGGAAAAGAAAAGGTCCAGTTGCACCAACTGAAATACATGATGTGAGAAAAGATGAATCTGCACAAAAGCCTTCCTATTCTTGGTGATTGCCAGAGATGTAAACTACCAAGCTGTAATAAGAAATTAACTATGATATATTCATGAATTCATTGTGCCTAAATAAAGGTTCAAATTGTTTTTATGACTTTCATACCAAATAATTCATTCAAATTTCCTATGTTTTGAGAAGCAGCTGATGTAATAATATTACAATAAACATTTTATAAATAGTTTTTGTGGATATATAATGTCAGTATGAGATACCTGGTATGCACCCATTATATTACATTGTGACAAGTTCTAACCATTGTGCCATGTGTGGCACACACCGGGGGATGGGACCATTATGAAATTAATTTCTTGTTTCCTATGTATTTTGCTTTCTAAACACCAAATAAGTACTTTCTGAATGACTTAATTTTTTCTATCATTAGATTGATTTTGGTCCAAAAGAGGGTAATAAGAGTTTCCCTGGAAATTATAGACCAAGTAGTCTTACTTTTGTAATGGTAAACATTCTAGAACATCTGAAGAAAGAAGTTTTGCAAAATCATCTAGTGAAGTATGATATTATAAATGAAAATCAACATGATTCACTGAATAGAAATCATTCCTGACTAACCTGTTAATTTTTTGGGGGGATATTACTTTTTATTTGGGTGATTTAAAGGGTATGGTCTTAGTGTACTTAAATTTTAGATAAGGTTTTGTAATATGGTGTTGCACAAAAGATTAGTTAAGAAAATCACAATAGTGAGAATTTTGGAAGCATTAATAAACTGAATTCTTGGATGATGGGAAACAAAAAACCTGTTATTTATGGAGTTCAGCCAAATTAGAATGTTGTTACTAGTGAAATGCCTTGGAGGCCAGTGCTTGGGATTTTTAATTTTCTTATTTGTATTAATTTTTATCTATAGTACTTTATTAAAGGTTGTGGAAGACATTAAAATTTCCAATATTTGTTGCTATATTCAAAATCTTTGGTTGCTATAGAGTGGCTAGGAGCAAATGGTTAATTGTACCAATATTTGGCAAATGACCTTTAATAATAGTAAGAATAAGATAATGTACTTGGATCACTCATTTAATATAGATGTATAGATGGGAACACACTCAATATCATTACTAAAGTAAAGGATTTTGGTATAGTGGTGGATAAGTAATTTAAGTCATTGAAGCAGTGTTTTACTGCTTGTAGTAAAGTTAATAGAATTTTAGGATGTACTGATAGATATGCTGATTATAAGTCAAAAGAGGTAATTATATTTTTATATGAGAACTAACTGCCTTATATTCCAACAGCCCATCAGCCTGACAGGTCAATTTTTGTTCATATATGACATCAGGACATGTGTGCTCAGACCTTTCCTGCTTTGGTGAGATTCATAGGCTACAGGAGCTGTAGTGTTTGGGAAACAAGTGTGTTTGCTGTACCAGCATGTTGCCGACTACAATTATTATATGAGCTGTTAGAACATATACATGGCACCCTTCATACAAGTCATTAGTTAGGCCTTTCTTGGAATACTGTGTTCAGTTTTGGTTTTCTTATCTAAGAAAATGTACTGACTTGTTGAAAAGGGTTCAGAGGAGGGCTACTAGGATAATTTTATGGATTGAAAGTTTATTTATGTGGATAGGTTAAGATATATTTTCTCTTGAGAAAAGAAGGGTAAGAGGTGATCTTATTGAAGCTTAGAAGATTATATAGAAGCTTAAAGTTTACTTTTCTCAAGGATGGGACAACCTTGAAGGACAAAGGCTAATGCTGTTGAAATGAAAATTTAATCTTTTGCATCAATACCTGTTTGCCTATTATTATGTGATTTACACATGTTGGCAATATGAATTCTTTTAACAATGCGAAAAGACTTCCATTGTATTTGTTATGTTAAATTACTAGATAACCTGATTTGTTCAAATAATAATAACAATAGCAGATTTGTCACATGAAAGCAGTAAAATAGTTAATTCTGTTTTATTTGCTTAAAATTACTAGTTTTATACTGCCAAGATTTTAATCACCACTCACTAGGAATGTCAGTTACATTGTATAGATAACTGTGTACTTTGTTAGTTAAGTAACTTAATGATTCTAAGATAGCAGAAAAGACTGATCCTGAGGAAAATATTTTTTTGACATAGGATTATTTAGGCTTAGCAAGTAGTCTAAGACTTGGTATACATGTTAAAGTGTTAAAAAGGATAAATGTATGCTTAGTGTAATGATCCAGCTGGAGAGTTTCTACTTCCAGTTTAAAACTGATGAAGCTTCTGTTTTAAAACAGTAAGTAGTCTGATGTTGAGGTTGTGGGTTCAAGCCTTGGTTATGATGGGTTTAACTTATTTCAGACTTTTGTGAAACCCATAAAAATATATAAGAGACTTGCTTGTTTATTATAAGTTAATTTTTGTTTTCTGCTATGTTAATAAAGAAAAGGATTTAGACATGTTCCTGAATATGGTTTTGAAGGAGGCAAGTTCATTGTATAAAGAGAATCAGGTTTAAATAGAAATACATGTAAATTGTGATTAACTAATCTGAAGCTAAGTTACTAACTAGTCAAAAAATTATTTGATACAATTTTTATTTATTTCTTTATAAATAGGAAATATAAAAAAGTACTGGAATGGATTCAAAGAAGTTTGAAGAGGGGTTGAAACATGAAGTACAGAGGTTAAAACAACAGGTTAGTTTATTTTGATTTGTGAGAAAATTTCAAAATTATGGCATTTTCTAATGCCAAAAGATCCCGACCTAAGTATTTTCATTTATCAGACAATGATTATACTTTATAAAAGTATGTATATCAATCGAAAAATGGCATTTATACACATACCTTGGTCTTTCTTTTAGAGTATCATATCAATATTTCTACACACCATAAACAAAAAAGAATTCCAAATTGACAGCTTGGGGTATGTCACTTTGCTTATGCTTTTATTTTTTAATTTTAAGTTTACTTTGTATGTATTAATATGTTTAAAATTTCATAGATTATCCACTAAAAAAAGCAGTAAATAAGTATAAATGCTTATTTTTTTGTGAATTTTATATAATACAGACATGAGGGTTTTTGTCAAAATATAGTATAATGACTTCCAAATATCCTCTCATTGAACCTTACACAGTTACACAACTCCAAATTTTCAGTTATTGTCATTCACACACACGCACACACACCATTACACAAGTACAAAAATGTAAACAAAATGATGTTACTCCCTCCACCTCCACTCTTTCTGTCTCTCATTGTAAGTGTGAATCATCATTTCACAGCTACATCCTTCCACAGGGTGACCAGATTTCCAAACTGAAAAACTGGAACTACCCAACCCTTGCCTCTAATTTAAAAAATTTAACTTTTATTTAATTTACTTTAAATTTATTGAACTATTCCACAATATTTCCTAATATATTAACATTGGTATAGTTTTTCTAGTAATTTCAACTACGTTTTTTTGGTGATAGACACAAAAGAAATGAGTAAAAATAGTCATAATAATCCATAAATCTTTAATTATTTACTTTATTCACTTCATCTTAAAATAGGCTACTTCATTCTGGATTTATTTAAGACCCATAACATATTAAAACATACTACTTTTAGGTTTTACACATTACTTTGAAATTTTTTAGACATTTTTTGTGAAGAATGAATGAAACATAGAAGTTCTATTTTTTTCACTAAACAGTCATAAAATTCAGTACATGACTGTAAAGTGTGTTTTGAAGATGATCACTACCTTAACTGACTCCACATTCAGACATGAGTTTCTTATCACGCACACACGGAACTTTTGAGAGAGTTTGGAGGCAAGAGAGTATGTGTTACATCAATGAGCAAGTCAAGTAAGCCTATTACATTCATGATTCCATGTGATAGACAGTTTGATGTCTTTGTCATAAAACCAGGATGTTTTGTGTATTCTGAGAATTTTTGTGGGGGGACACTGGGACAAACTATCAAAAGATGGGATTATTCCAGCAAAATGGGTACATCTAATCACCCTAACCTTCCACTACTTTCCTTCTAACATTATTTTCAATGTAAGCAGTTACTAACAATATCAACATATATACTGCTAACATCCACCACAGTGTAGTATTTCATACTATTAGTAATTTCATTTCTAACTATTTCCATAATACATCATTCTGTTCATAGATTTTTCACCCTTTCTCAAGTGTAATCGTTGTTTTACCCGTAATCAACACAATGTTCCTATTGAATCATTTTTACTTACTTTCATTTGGCTTACTAAAAGCATTCACTAGTTTAAAATGGAATCATGAACTAAAGTCAAATACACCACTAGTACAACTATTTAGCATCATGGGCCTCTTTTAGTACATGCACCCTACACAATGGACTGAAGTGACAAAACATAAAAGTAACAAAGGCACAAACTAAAGAAAATTAACCCTGCCCTTGTTTTCCCCTCCTTTCATCTACCTGTATGCACGTGCTTTAACCCTAATAACTTTCACTTCAAGGGGTATCCAACAAGACACCTAGCTCAAATATTGCCAACATGTATAAGAGATAATGAACAACCCGTGAATGCTACACTACCTTCTCCTCACAAAAACATCTTTGTTAGTTAACATTTCAGTTCAGTTTAAACACAGTTTACCAAACTGACAAACTTCTATGGTACACAGCTACCTCTGTCCTATTCATTTTAAAAAAGTAGACAAAACAACAAGCTCTACAACTTTAATTCAGTATTTACAAAATTAAAAACAACAAGAACAATGAACTACTACTTTTCCTTGTATAATTATGATTTTCCACTATCTAATCCAAAACATATTGGTTAGACTTCATCCAGAAAGAAAGTTACTGTTCCCTACAAACCATATATGCATTTCCCCCTCACCCCATTATCATGCTCCTCAGAACTCATATTCCCCCTAACTTGTCTTGACAATGATTTAAATTTATATCTCCCACTTTGATTGTTTTCTCTAGTCAACTCATGTTCCAAGAATATATCATCTTCTTGTGAGGTATTGTCCTTATTATCCCGAACTAAAGTTAAATCTCTTTCACAGAAAGTCTGTTGAGCATAGACATCAATTACCAAGAAACTATGTTTATACTGTTTCATTCAGTTGAAATGTACTCAGGATTTTTAACCATGTAACTTGCATCAGACAATTTCTTTTACTTCTGTCATGGGTTCTATCCAAAAACTTTATAGCTTTGGAGTTATTTCCACATATTTATGGGCAATATATAACTGTACCTCATTTTCTTCACTAAAACAAGTACCTACAACTCTGTTAACATAACATAATGTTTCGGGACAACAAGGGACATATTGGTCCATCTAGGCTATCCCATTCTTTAAACTAAACTAAATCTATTAATTATATAAATTAATAAAAATCTTAAAGCCAGCCCTTATCATTCATATAGTAATCAAGCTTTCTCTTAAACTAACTTAAATTCACTGCCTACACAACATCCAAAGGCAACCAGTTCCAGAGGCCAACCACCCTGTTAGTAAAATAAAATTATCTTAGCTGAAGATGA